CTCTTGCAAACAAGCCGGTTCCAAATGTTATGCCCTTTTGAATCTTCTCGTCACTGCTGACAGCAGGGTGATGTGATCAGGGCGGAACCAAGGACAGCAAATTTGGAGATATCACTCCTGTCTCATCATCAATGGATTGAATTTTGACCAGAGGAGGCATTACATTTATCCCACGAGATCGGCAGGCGCCTACCTAATTATTTTTCAAACATACGTTTCGGAGATTATTTTATATATGAAAAAATTAAACTAAGTAAAATTAAAGTATTTTAGAGAAAGAGGAATTCGTCGCTTTGCACTTAGTACGAGGTTGTTGATTTTAGGTTATGGAAGCCATTAATAAATAAATAAATAAAGAAAGAAATGACAGCAAAGATTCAACAGAAACAGCATCAACAGCCGCAATATAAAAAGTGAAGCATCTTAGAGTGCAGGCAATCATGACAAGCAGCAGCAAATTTATCAACATTAAGATTCTAAGTTTTAAGACTCTAAGTTAGTCACTCAACATTGTCTGACGGGACAATAGACGAGTGTATTAAAGCGTTGATTCGAAAATTTCATGACATACTTATCCATGGGCATGCCGGTGTGTACTTGAACTCAGTGGAAACGAGGAAGAACCAGACGAGATATCCTTGAACATGGTCAACGGGACGAGAATAATCAAACCCCGCATATTAAAGAAGGAGTTACTTGCATTATTGACATTATTTGGACTATTATCCTCATCTTCATTGCTATATTCACAATGTTTTCACTTCTTCAGGTGATTGGAATTTCGAACTGAACACGTTATTTTGTCCACCAAACACATGGCCCAGTGGATAAAGACGTTGGTTAGATCCAGTGACTAGACCCAAAGAGTTGTGAGTTCAATACCAGGCCACAGCAGTGATGAACCAAATTTGAGTTAAAGGGAAATAATTGAGGCATCCGGAAGGGTCATGGCACGTGGAACTAGAACAATCTACCTCGGTGAAAAGATATTGCAAATAATAGTAAATGCCTATGAGCAGCTCTCAAATCCCGTAGATTACCTGAAGTATCCCGACGACCACGTCTCTTATCACTCTAGGCATTGCTGCTGCGGTTTCCATAGCACGGGATGAAGTTGCTAACCTCAAGCCGAACCGGTTTTGAATTCAGGGTTTTCCTCCTTCTAAATTGGTTGTCAAACATAGCTAAAGAGCACAATCAATCCTACTATTTAACCCATAACTGCGTAGAGAAAAGATGCATTTATATCTTTTTCAGGTGCTTGATAACAATTTGCAATTTTATTGGTCCTGACCTGGTATTTCGGCTTCACTCATTTTTCCACTGTAGTAACGTAGTTTCCTTGTGCATTTTCTATAAATATTCTTGGTAATTGTTTTGAAAATCTTTCCTCTTTGTTACCTAGACTTTGAATTTAAGCGTAGCACAATAATGGCGGCTAAGTCTCACCATTTTACCGTTAGAATATTTAGCGCTAACTGTAAGAACTATGTTAACAGTTTCTTCTCTCTGACTTCTCGTTTGTGGAACTCACTTCCGACTTCTTGCTTTCCAGTCAATTTTGATCATAATAAATTTAAATGCAATGTCAATCGTTATCTTCTGTCTTCTTAATTCCTGTTATTTTATTGTTCTCTCTCCTTAATAATGTTTTTTTTTCTTTCTGTCATATTCTTTCACGCACGCCTTGGATTTTAGTGGCTTTAATGATTAAAAAAAGGGTATTTGCTCGTAAGTGAATATAATGAACGCAATTGAAATTTGAACTCGGTTATCCGATATCTCATTTCGAAGTTCTATCTATTACACCATCTGCACATCCTGATATGCTGTCAACAGTAGTTAGCAAAATTTCAGACTGAAGAGTTTTCGTTCAACGATGCCCCGTATTCGAAAGGGATAGTTAAGTTTGATAACGTTTAAAACAACACATTACACAAGAGTAATCAGCATTATATAAAGCATTAAATAATATATATTATTATATGATATTATATGATTATATAATATTATTATTATACAATTATACAAAGCATTATATAAAGCGGTAAATAATATTACATATATATTATATAATATTATATATTTATATATTATTATATAATAATAAAATTTTGAAAATTATTTGCACTCGTTTAGTCGCTTTCATGTGTGATTACTACGTAGTTTAAGCAAGATGTAATTCTCCTTGTCTGCAGAAGGTGCTTTGAAGCTTCTTTTATCAGGCATAAAAAGTTCATATTAGTACAACATTTGTCGATCAAATTCACTTGAAATAGAGGTGTGAAACGTCGCACCATGGTAGATTTTCATGGATTATATAGATTTTTAATTATTTGATTAAATCATATCTATTTCTGTTTTGCCGAACGAATTATAATGGCGAATGTATGTCCCTAATTAAGCATCCCTCAAATGTAATCTAAAAGCTGATGAAAAATGGGTTCCATACGACAATGTTCAATGGTAAAGGTAGTAAATCTCTAGAACGGGAAAAAATGTTGAGCTCATTGAAAGAAACTTAATGTTGGGCATGTGTTGGGATCTTGTGAGCATTATTCATTTAGAGTTCTTAAAATGCGATGAAAGAATAGATGCACATTTATACGTCCTGTAACTGTAACGTGTCCTTAAATGTTTGATCGATATCTAACCTGAGCTTGTCAATAGGAAAACTGTTATTTTCTTTCATGAAAACTCAAGGTAGCATACAGTAAGAATATCACAAATTACAACTCAGTTGATCTGTCCTATTCGCCCCCCCCCCATATTCATTTGACCTTAAAGCAACGGGTTTTCAGCTTTTTCGATATTTGCAAAACGCTATGATGAGAAAAACCTTCCTTCACGAAAATTATTTCCAAGTGATTGTCGAAAACTTTTACATCAAAATCAGTGAAATTTTACTCAAAATGTATCCAAGTGCAGCTTGATAAGTAGTAAAAAGAGATTGTAAATAATGGAGAATATATAATTTAATCGAATATAATTGTACATTCTTTAAAGAATGTAACTGATAAACAAAAAAAAAAAAAAATTATGAATGATTTAACTTATTATATTCAGCTTCTTATATAAATCCATTTTAGTGAAGAATCCCTTGAAAGTAGAATTTATTAGAGAATTTTTCTTCCCATTAATCTACAGGGTGGCACAAAAGTCTTTTCCTCCCATACAAAAGGTAGTAAGAATAGAAGAACAAGTAATACAGTAATAGAAAACACATGCACTGGATTCAGTTTATTCACTTTCATTGACGCTGTCACACATTGATCAGTTCTGTATAAACACCATCATTTTCCTGGCACAAAATGAAAATTGCATTATGTAATGGTGACAAGAGTTTTAGAGCACGCTGTACAACTGTTAACTTATCAGTAATATAGCTCATATATTAGGTTCCTCTCTGTTAAATTCTGAAAGTTATTAATATACAATTGTATATTAATAACTTTCAGAATTTAACTTTAAAAGATTTAGATATATATCTCTCATGTTGAACATTAAAAAAGGAGATGCGTTTATTTTTTGTAAAAGCTTGGTTAAATGCTCTTGGATATACTGCCAACATTAACAGAGCATGGGATGAAGGATCCACTTCTTATTGGATATTGGTTTCTGAAGTTCTGAAGTTCTGTAGAGGGGATACAAATCTTAAAGATCAAGGTGGTAGAGGATGTTCATCTCCAATTAGCAATCAAAATCTGCAAAAACTATCGAAGTTTACTGCCAGCTGCTGAATGGAATGTACATTCACTTAAGCAAAATGCGGCTGACACTGGTTAATCGACGTGGTCCAATTATCGGCCACATGTTGCCATGATGACACTGCGGAAGCTCGCCGACTTAAGATACGAAACTTTGCCGCATCCACCATATTTCCTTGATCTCTCGCCCAATGGCTACCAATTTATTACGCGACTTTATACTTCTTTAAGCAAAAAGCCTTTCAGATGCAAGGAAGATTCAGTCACCGCATTCAAATATTTCTTAGCATCCAAACTTTTAGAATTTATCGTAAATGCATAAATAAACTTGTAACTCAGTGACAGAAATGGATAGATTTTCTGTTTTCCTATTTTAAACACAAGTTAAATACATTAATAAACGTTTTCTAAATTCGAACATTATTTTCTGAACAACCTAATACTAAGTTTCATAAATGCATATCGTATAAAAATTATATTCCTAAATTATTGTTTATATAATTTTAAAGATAATTTATGTTTCAACATAATACGAATTTCTTCATTGTTGTACAATTGGCGTTTAGTATTTATTTAAATTTTTCACTCACTTTAAAAAAAAAAAGACAAAGATGAGAATAGAAGACGACTGCTGTGACATTGTTTAAGCAATCCATTAATTTTATTTTTACAAAATCCAGTTAAGTAATCTTTAAATATACTAATTTGCTTCGAAACAAATCTTTAGGGTAAATACTGGATTTCAAATCTGTTGTTTATATTTTCAGCTACAATGGATGATCGAAGAGTGATGAGTGAGCGTGCGAATGTTTTAAAATGTCTTAAAAATTATTTACACAAGTAAATTTATTTTTCTTCTTTAGAGACTAGTTTTAGGCTATTTTATTTCAAATATAACCAACATTTAACTTCAAAAACACATTTAAATTATTTAGGATGAGTTTTTCAGTTTTGTTGATTAAGTCCATGAGTTAGTACTTAGAAAATATAAATCTATTTATGATACTGGGAAATCAAAGTTATAAACCTAGTTTATAAAATCACAGATTTGACCTAATGGATATTTGCGTCAACGATATTGACTGAAAGACAGGAAGGAGAAAACCAGAAAGAAGAGGAAAATGATAATTATTTGAGCAGAAAAAAAGAGGAATATCGAAAGAAACAAATAAGACAGCGAAATAGAAGGTTAGAGAAACGAAGAAATAAAAGGAAAGTGGAGAAATGAAAAAAAAGAGGAAAGGGGATGAATTTGGGTGACAAGAATAATGAAAGAAAGAAAGGGTAAAAATATCAAATGCAATAAAATGTGAAAGATATCAAAAGAAGAAGAAGAAGAAGAAGAAGAAGAAGAAGAAGAAGAAGGAATGCAGTAAAGGCATCAAGGAGGCAAAGAAGAGAATCTAAGAAGAAGAACGAGAAAAAAAAAAACGATTTTTTAAAAAATGTTCTGTGACTTACAAATCCTTTTATTATTTCTGTATTGCAGTGCATTCTTGTGTATGAGAGTGGAATGATTTCAAAATGATTTCAAAATGATTTCAAAATGATATGATGGTGGAATGATTTCAAAATGATTCAAAATTATATGATGGTGGAATGATTTCAAAATTATATGATGGTGGAATGATTTCAAAATGATTTCAAAATTATATGATGGTGGAATTATTTCAAAATGATTTCAAAATTATATGATGGTGGAATGATTTCAAAATTATATGATGGTGGAATGATTTCAAAATAATTTCAAAATTATATGATGGTGGAATGATTTCAAAATTATATGATGGTGGAATGATTTCAAAATTATATGATGGTGGAATGATTTCAAAATGATTTCAAAATTATATGATGGTGGAATTATTTTAAAATGATTTCAAAATTATATGATGGTGGAATGATTTCAAAATGATTTCAAAATTATATGATGGTGGAATGATTTCAAAATGATTTCAAAATTATATGATGGTGGAATTATTTCAAAATGATTTCAAAATTATATGATGGTGGATTGATTTCAAAATGATTTCAAAATTATATGATGGTGGATTAATTTCAAAATTATATGACGGTGGAAAGATTTCCCGTTGACTTATCCACGCTTTGAACTCGTAGTTGTTTTTCTCTTAGATAGCCGGACATCCACTTAAGCTATAGCCATGGAGAGAAAAGACCAATTGATGACTTTCCCAAGGGTATCTATAAAAATGAACGCAACTAACAAGACTAGAATTCCATTTTCGGCGGCGATAACCGTTACGCTAACTGCAACTCGAAATTATTACTACTACTATTAATAATAATAATAATGATAATAATAAAAACAATGAAATGCAAGAAAAAGTAAAGCCAAAAACCAGGGAACGGTAATAAAGAGGGAAATAAAACTCAAGAGAAACGTGAACGAAAGGAAAAGGAACATTCAATGAAAACAAAAGAATGACGAAAAGAAGAAAAAGTAGGGAAAAAACTCACAAGAGAAAAAAATAAAGAAATAATGTTATTGAGAATGAAGGAAAGAAAATACAAAAAGGTGAAAATAAATTTCAGAAGAATAAATGTGGAAGGAAAAAATATTGAGAATAAAAAATCTAAAAGGAAAAGAAGAAAATCAGTGGAAAGAAAAACACAAAAAAGTAAAAAAAAAAAAAAGAATTAGAAAGAGTGGTAACGAAAATGAAGGAAAGAAAACAAAAAAAAAAAAGGAAAAAAGCGACTCAAAGGAAAAGTGCAAGAAATAAAAGAACATTTTGAAAATCAAAGAAAGAATACGAAACGAAGAAAAATACATGGAATGAAAAACTTCAAAAACATGAAAGAAGGATAGTGACAGTGAAAAACTGAAGAATAAAAATAAAGGCAAAAAATAAAACAAAATGAAAAAAAATAAAACGAAGATTCTCGTGAAGAAAGAGTCAAAAAAAAAGAAGAAAAGGTAAATAAATTAATAGAATGAATTAGCGGAACAAGAGAAAGACGAAGAGGAGTCATATGCTAACAAGAGGACGTAGAGAGATAAGTTATATTGCAAATAGACTTGATTCCTCCCGTTGTTAGGGATGTAGCCGACAAGTTGGGACAAAGAGAGTAATTAGCTTTGCTCTCTTCTGATGTTGAAATTTTATGGGCGGTACTCTGTTAGGGAACAGGGCTTTGGCGTCGGTTATAAAAGACTTAAAAAGTTTAGAAGAGCATAGAAGGATTAGGAATCAAAATAAAGATAGAAGAAATAAACTGAATTATGTAGGAAACTACAGAAACTTAAAAGAAAAGAAAAAGAAAAGAAATCTTTCTGAAAAGAAAACGAGACAAAGAAAATGGAATTTCAATGAGAAAGAAAGGAAATAATTAGAAGAATATAACAAAAAAAGAAGAAATAATGAAGGGAAATGAAGAGTAAAATAAATAATGAAAGAAAGATATGAATAAAGAGTGAAATAAAACAATAAGAAAAAGAAAGAAAATGATATGGTGAATAAGAAAGCAAGAAAGAAAGAAAGAAAGAAAGAAAGAAAGAAAGAAAGAAAGAAAGACAAAAGAAAGAAAGAAAGAATGAAATTGAAATAAAGTAGAAAATAAAGAAAAAAATTAAGAAAAAAGAAAGAAAATGATATGGTGAATAAGAAAGCAAGAAAGAAAGAATGAAAGAAAGAAAAAAGAAAGAAAGAAAGAAAGAAAGAATGAAATTGAAATAAAGTAGAAAATAAAGAAAAAAATTAAGAAAAAAGAAAGAAAATGATATGGTGAATAAGAAAGAAAGAAAGAAAGAAAGAAAAAAGAAAGAAAGAAAGAAAGAAAAAAGAAAGAAAGAATGAAATTGAAATAAAGTAAAAATAAAGAAAAAAATTAAGAAAAAAAAGAAAAATGAAATGAATAAGAAAGATGAATAATGAAAGAAAAAAAAAAGAAAGAAAGAAAGAAAAAAATGAAATTGAAATAAAGTAGAAAATAAAGAAAAAATTAAGAAAAAAGAAAATGAAATGATATGGTGAATAAGAAAGCAAGAAAGAAAGAATGAAAGAAAAAAAGAAAGAAAGAAAGAAAGAATGAAATTGAAATAAAGTAGAAAATAAAGAAAAAAATTAAGAAAAAAGAAAGAAAATGATATGGCGATTAAGAAAGAAAGAAAGAAAGAAAGAAGAAAGAATTGGAAATAAAATGGAAAATAAAGAAAAAAGTAAGAAAAAAGAAAGAAAATGATATGATGAATAAGAAAGAAAGAAAGAAAGAAAGAAAGAATAAATGAAATTGGAAACGAAGTAGAATATAAAGAAAAATGTAAGACAAAAGAAAGAAAATGACATGGGAACAAGAAAAAAAGAAAGACAGAAAGAAAGAATGAAATTGGCAACGAAGGAGAAAATCAAAAAAAAGTAAGAAAAGAAGAAGAAAATGATATAGCGAATAAGAAATAAAGAAAGTAGAAATGAGAGAAAAATAAAGAAAAAGTAAGAAAAAAGAAAGAAAATGATATGATGAATAAGAAAATAGAAAGAAAGAATTAATGAAATTGGAAATAAAATGGAAAATAAAGAAAAAAGTAAGAAAAAAGGAAAAGGTATGGTGAATAAGAAAGAAAGAAAGAAAGAAAAAAAGAAGGAAGAAAGAAAGAAAGAAAAAAGAAAGCATGAAAAAAGAAAGAATGAAACTGGATATGAAGTGGAAAATAAAGAAAAAAGTAAGAAAAAAGGAAAAGGTATGGTGAATAAGAAAGAAAGAAAGAAAGAAAAAAAGAAGGAAGAAAGAAAGAAATAAATAAAGAAAAAAGAAAAAAAGAAAGAATGAAAAAAGAAAGAATGAAACTGGATATGAAGTGGAAAATAAAGAAAAAAGTAAGAAAAAAAGGAAAAGGTATGGTGAATAAGAAAGAAAGAAAGAAAGAAAGAAAGAAAGAAGAAAGAAAGAAAGAAAGAAAGAAAAAATGAAAAAGAAAGAATGAAAGAATGAAACTGGATATGAAATGGAAAATAAAGAAAAAAGTAAGAAAAACGAAAGAAAATGATATTATGCTGGATAAAAAAGAAAAGAAGAAAAAGAATGAATGTGACAATGAGGTAGAAAATAAATGAATCAATAAAGGAAGTATAGAAGGGAAAAAAAGAAAGAAAGAAAGAAAGAAAGAAAGAAAGAAAGAAAGAAAGAAAGAAAGAAATGTGGTGGATGCGGAAGAAAAGAAAGAAAGTATCAATAAGTTGGAAACGAAAGAAAAATAATGAATAAATGAACGAATGAGTAAGAATGAAAGAAAAAAAGCTATAGATTAAGCAAGGAAAAATGACAAATGAAAAATGAATAACAAATTAAATAAGAAAATGAAGTTAGGAGTGAAATCTAAAAAAGGTAAAGAAAGAAAGACGACAGAAACTGAACAAGAATGGAGAAATGGAGTTGAAGCCTGAATAAAGAATTAGAAAGAAGAAAATATCTCTAATCGGCAAATAAGATTGAATTGTTAAAAGGAGAGAAAAAAAGACCAGAATAAATCTTCTACAAGGATGAAACTGTTGGAAAAGTATTGGCCTCCACCCCTACCCACCACACCAAGGGGAAAAAAAAACGAAAAAAAGAGTTCATCCAGTTTTCCATTTTCTCATTCAGTCGGCACAATAACCAAAAGCGTTTTGATAATGTTATTTATTTTATTCTAAATTATTTGTGTTGTTTCATCGTCGCTTATCTTTCAAGATATCTTTCTTCTCTGATATTAAGCTCTTTGGTTGGCTAGATTCTGGGTGTCAGGCACACCTCCTTCCAACGACCCGGTATTAAGAAAAAAGAAAAAAAAATTTACAATTTGTTTTTTGTTTATACATTTATGTTAGTTTATTTTTTTTATTCTGTATGATGCTTCGTTTCTCTTTTTCTTCATTTTAATGCAAAGTTTTCCAATAGTTTTTCATGGTGGAGGATTTATTTCTGCACAAAATCTCCTGTCAAGAGTTAAATCCTCTCAAATGTTGCAATTAGGCGGGGTTAGTCATATTTTTTGCTCATCCTGTTAAGACGTTAAGATCTGTTTTAAACTTTTGATCAGTAGTTTAAAACTCACACGATTCTAAAGTTAATACTGCACAAACATTCGCTCATGTTCTGTATTTTCTATACCATAACTGCTGCAGTAATTCTCACAATGAATAATAATAATAATAAATAATATTATTGATGATGATGATGATGATGATGATGATGATGATGATGATGATGATGATGATGATGGTGATAATAATAATAATAATAATAATGGGCCAATATCTGCGCTGGAAAATATGCAACTTCTATGGGAAGGAAACTGAAAGAAACTGGTATGAACACCACCCAGACCCGGTTACGATTCTATGGGACTACACAATACACACTGACAGAACAATCAAAGCCAACCGCCCAGATATTGTTATTAAAGACCACAAACAAAAACGGTGCCTCCTTATTGATATGGCAGTCCCTGCTGACTGCAATGTATCTTTGAAGATATTCAAAAAGCTATCAAAATACAAGGACCTTGAAATAGAAATCTCAATCAACAATCCCTGTTGTAGTTGGAGCCCTAGGACTGGTTGGAAAAGATTCCAGTAGACTCATTGAAAGGATTCCTGAAAGTCCATGCCTCAAAGCGATACAAAAAATTGCTCTCACAGATACAGCCCACACTTTACGAAGGGCTTTATTTTTGTAAAATTTTTTTTTGTCAGTGGAAAGTGTCATGCCATTTCTAACCTTAGGCCCTTGGGCGGGACACGGAAAGAAATGTGTAAACGCCAGAAATCAAAGGAAATAATAATAATAATAATAATAATAATAATAATAATGATGATGATGATGATGATGATGATGATGATAATAATCAGTAATTCCAGTTGCAGTTGGAGTCCTCGGTTTGATTGGAAAAGTTTCTGATAAACTCATTGAAGAGATACCTGGTAATCAAGCCTTAAACAAATATAAAGAACCATATTCACAAGTACAGCTCAAATATCACGTAGACCTTTATCGATGTCAAATCTGTATGTTTTTTGTTTTTTTTTTGTTTTTTTTTACAAAAATGATCAGTAGAAAATCTCATGAAGCTATTTCTGACCTTAGGTCTCAGATTATGACCCGGAAGTAAATGTGTGTACAACAGACATCAAAAGGAATAATAATAATAATAATAATAATAATAATAATAATAATAATAATAACGTAGACTGTGATTTCTTAGTGAAGTGGCAGTGATTGTAATGTATGTTTGAAGATCATGAGAAAAAACTATCAAAATACAATGATCTTGAAGTGGAATTCTAAAAAAATGTGGCACTGAGGACATCAATAATTCTAGTTGTACTTGGATGTCTCACGTTGATTGTAAAAGAAATACAAAAAATTGTGCTCACATGTATAGCTCACACATTACGGAACGCCTCATCTATGTAAAATGTGTGTGATCTTATAGTTTTTAGCTTTTTTTTTTTAAATGATTAGTGGAAAATATCATGAAGCTATTTCTGACTTTAGGTTTGTTTGGGACCTGGAAGAAAATGTGTATAAAAGAAAGAAAGAAAAAGAATTAATAATAATAATAATAATTTCGTAAAAGAAGGTGATGTCTTGTTCGGTGACCGCCTGGGTGAAACCACCAAAGCTAGACGTGTGTGGCTGTCCTGGTAATCATAATATCAAAATCAAAGAATTTCACAAGCTTACGAAATACACCGAACTCCGTATTGAAGTTGTCTTCGAGGCCATATTTCTCAGAAACCATTGTGGCGTTTAGGTTTATATCACCGAAGTTAAAATTCTACATTAAGAATATCGGAAGAAAGACTAGTATCCCGTCGCTTCAGAAATCAGCGTTGCTTAGTATTGAAAGTATTTGGCGAAAGGTGATCTTTGTCTGAGGTCGTATAATGCAAGATCTACAGTCGAAAATGTAAAAACCTGCAAAAGAAGAAAAAATTCCAGTTGTAGTTGTAGTCGGATTGATTGAAAAAGGTTCCGATACACACATTGAAGAGAATTCTGGTAGCCTTAAAGAAATACAAAAGTTCCACTCACAATTACAACTCACATATTACGAAGAACTTCATCTATATAAACTATCTGTGATCTTAAATTTTTTTTTTTTATTCGTAAGCTGTCATGAAGCCATTTCTGACCTTAGGTTTCTGACCCGGAAGTAAAATGTGTATACAACAGAAATCAAAGGAAATAATAATAATAATAATAATAATAATAATAATAATAATATCTATATCAAAGAACATGAAAGAAGAAACTATTCAGTGATAAAGGACGCGAAGCAGTTCAAAATGGAGTTTCAAATGTGTGAAGAAATGCAAGTAATGCATAATACACCGACTGCAGTTGCAAAATACTTAAAAAAGAAAGCAAAAGCACCCGACCAGATACAGAAACGATGGCAAGATAAACCACTTCACGATCAATATTCTGCCTGTACCATACAAGCTGATGCAGACATACACCGTACCCATCAGTGGCTACGTAGTGCAGGGTTAAAAGCTGAAACCGAAGGTTTTATTCTTGCTGCACAGGACCAATGCTTTCTAACTAGAAATTATCAAGCACGAATACGGAAAAATTGTGTTAGCCCAAAATGCAGATTCTGTGATAAATATCCAGAAACAATTGACCATTTTGTATCAGGTTGCACGGTATTGGCACCCACTGAATATCAACCTCGGCAAGACAGAGTGGGTCAACATCTGCATTGGAAAATCTGCAACTTTTACGGAAAGTAAACTGCAAGAAATTAGTACGAAAACCACCCAGACCCGCTTACGGTGATAGAACCTGTTACAATTTTATGGGACTTTAAAATACACGCAGACAGAACAATCGAAGCTAATCGCCCAGACATCTTGACTAGAGACCGGAAAATGTGTCTCCTTATTGACATGGCAGTCCCTCAGACTGGAATGTATCTTGGAAGATCTTCAAAAAAAAAGGAAAAAAAACTAACAAAATAAAATGACATTGAAGTCAAAATCTCAAAAATGTGGCACATGAGGACATCAACATTTCCGAAAGGTAATATTTGTCTGAGGTCGCATAATGCAAGATCTCCAGTCGAAAACGTAAAAGCCTACGGAAGAAGAAAGCATTTCAGTTGTAATTGGAGTTCCGGATTCATTCGAAAAATTCCAGTAGACTCATTGAAGGGATTCCTGGTAGCCCATGCCTTAAAGAAATACAAAATATTGTTCTCAAAAGTACAGCCCACACCTCAATGGAAAATGTCATGATGTCATTTCTGTCCTTAGGTCTCTTTCTCCCGGAAAGAAATGAGAAATCAAAGGAAATAATAATAATAATTTCAGAATTATATTAAGGAAAATATAACCAGATCACAACAAAATAATAATTTTTGGGGGCAAATATTATTAACAACAAGAGACATTTTGTTTCGATTAATTTCATTGATCGAGTTTTCAAAATTACGAATAACCATTTTCAGATAAGGAAGAAATTCCGTCAGTAATTTTTCAAAGTTCATTTCGGAAGAAATATGGTCCTCGCTTTTGACATTCTTAAGTCATTATCAGGGTAGGTAAAATAAATGGTGATTTTTGTAGAATTGGTGAGTGTAGTGACGTGGGTAAATTGTATTGTGACATAGACGTGGTATGACGAGTGGGTGTGCTTATATTTTTATTTTTTATATACATTTGAGGCTCTGTAGACTCAGCGAGAATTAGCAGTTATGTAATAAGCGAATCGAACATTCTATTTTGGTATTTATACAAAGAGATATGATTTTTGTATTAAGGTTCACCCAATACAAGGCCCGAGTTTCACGCAAGTTAGACGGTTACTGAATAGGGTGTGTATCTTGTACGTAAGAGTAGGTAGTAGTAAGTAAATATTAGATGATATGGAGGATAGTTAACTAACCCTAGACTTGAATAAGGTGAAATCCTAGTGTTTGAGGAAGCAATCACGTGGGAGCTTATTCTACAAAGTAGCAGTTCTTAGGAAGAATCTGTCTTAGAAAATTCTACTTATCATTAAAATACGTAGGGAATGCTGGTGATTCAACTCCGTGGACATAGTAAGGTTGGTCCTGGCCATAAATGTTTAAACTAGCGGTACAAAACAACGGAGCGCATTTAAACATTTGTCATGGAAGTAGTGATAGGCTTGCAACATTGAGTCGGTGTGAAAGGGGTTGCAGGATGGAAAATAAACCATACCTCTACAAGGCCGCTTAAACGAATTCTGTTATGGCTGGAAAGTAAGAATTTGGCAGCTCCAGTTCAAGAATGTTGGTAGGATTGATCATAATTAGGTATGAAAAGGTGAACGCAATGGAACAGTAATTACTATATGTAAACTGTCCGGATATCTTGAACAAAACATCAACATCATCAAATAAATGTTCTAAGAATTAGGACTCAAGATAAACCTTTTCTAAACAGAGATTATGATCTGACATTGTAATTAAAGCAATGATGGCACGTATCCTGAATACATCATAATAAATAATGAAATGACAATTAGTAAATACAAAATAATTCAAATACCTTAGTAAATGAATCAGTTGTAAAAAATTTACTACGTCTCGTAGTCAACTTACAACCTCACATACACACATACAAACGCGCGCACACTCTCACATACATCCTTATGCGAATTAATTGAAACAAAATGAATACTTCAGATATAATTTACTTGTTTCGTATTTTTCCACTGAAAATATGTTAGTACTTCATATGTCCATTCTACGAAGTTGTTTTTACAGACTGACAACAGATTCTTGATTGGATTTAAATCAGAAGAGTTTCCACTCCAGTCTATAGTACTTTGATGTGCTCATTGGTAAGGCTTGCCAGTGTGTTCGTGCAGTGTTATAAATTTCGTACCCTTCCTTGGAGTAACGTCCATTGTAGAAAATGACCGTAAGACAACTTATCGATAGTCGAGACAATAGTGTCTTGGTGTGATGAAAATCTGATGCAATCACGGATGACGAAATATTTTTCAAGGCAAAAACAAATTACATCATACACCCAGAAAATAGATTCATATTACTGCACACCACTGCAAATGACCTAATCTGAGAAAAAAAAATAGAAATTGATTATATCGTGTCACTCCAGTGGGTCTCAAAATTACCATATGCTGAAAGAAATGAAACTAAAGCGGTTGTTTCAATTAATTTGCAAAAGGTAACGAGTTCTTTCCTATTTTATACACACACACACACACACACACACACACACACATATATATATATATATATAATATATAAAGTGAACATTGAAGTCGACACTCAGAGGCGACAAGCTATTTCATGCTAGGCGAAATCGTCATGCTAGGCCGCCTGACGATTGATTGAAACAGCCGTTGCCTCTGAGTTTTGACTTCAATGTTCATATATATATATATATATATATATATATATATATATATATATATATATATATATATATATATATGTGTGTGTGTGTGTGTAAAATCAAAAGTAATAATTTGTGCCTGATGAGTTGATAGAACAAGGAAACTGTAAATTACACTTCGAACGTTGTTATATGTATATTTCTTAATATATACTTCTTAACAATGTCTAATCACGTTGAGTACTGCATTGTTTACACCTTAAATTAAATTGAATAGTTATTCGCGCAACTGTGTATGCACGTTAACGAACGCACATATATACGGTTGCTAATATCTAATTCTTTGATTTACCCACCTCAATCTCTCTCTCTCTCTCTCTCTCTCTCTCTTATATATATATATACATATGAAGAAATATAGTTTAAAGGTGTGCTATATTTATGGGATAAAGTGCTCAATATCAGAGATAGAACGTATGTAAGTATAAATTTAAAAGTGAACATTGAAATCAACACTCAGTGGAAATAGGCTGTTTCATGCTAGGCGCAATCGTCAGGCGGCCTGACGATTGCGTCCAGCATGAAAAAGCCTGTCGCCTCTGAGTGTTGACTTCAACGTCACTTATATATATATATATATATATATATATATATATATATATATATATATGTCATCGTCGACTTACGACCGCGATCTTTTCTTGTCGTAAGTCGGCATGTAATTAATGGCGCATTTTTTTATTTATTTTTCTACAGTTATTGTATTTTTAAATAATTTTTGCGGCTTCTTACTTTTGATACCATTTGTATCATATCTCTAAACATTTTGTTTCTTAAGTTTATGCTCGTTAGGTTTAATCAAACACTGCATACTACAGTACAATTGATTTAAAATGCGTTAAACATACAACAAACAAAATACAGGTGCCAAAATATAGAAATATTTTAGTTTCAAAACATTTTATTAGCTGCTAATGTTTGGTTGTTTTTTCTCGATGTCTTCAGCTGAGCTTGAGGCTCGCGAGGGAAGGCTAGCGTTGCCGAGTGCTGGGGCATAAATTGTAAAGCAAACTGGAAAGCACTCACGTTGCCAAACGTGTAGCAGTCGTGGCCAGACTGCCAGACATACCAATTCGCGGTCGTGGTCGTAAAGTCGAACAGTTGTAAGTCATATATGTCGTAAGTCGACGACGACCTGTATAAGATATAAGGAAATTGAACCTAAAATAAACTGCAATAGGATAAGTAAAGTGATTGCTAATGTGCTCATCTCTCAGACAACTCTTAGATATTTAGTAAGCACAGATCAATTTATAAGTTTATAAATAGAGAGCTCCCAATGAATATGAAACTAATTACTAAATATCTAGGAAACAATTTTGTTATGGTACTCTAAAGAAGACCCCATCTCAGACAAAGGTACTTAGACTACGTTTGTCTCGCTCAGAGTACCTCACTAATGTGGATTAAGTCAAATCTAAGCTATATTTAATACGTATTTAAAAGCACTTACCCAGGTAACACGAAGCGTTATTTCAACATTGCAAATATGTTGTATATTTGCTGGGGATATGTGACGTTGTGACGACATTACTGTAGCATTAGAATCAAGGATATTTTTGACCAGAATCTCCAACGTTGTCACAGCATTATAATAACGTGTAGTGGCCGAAAAAATCACAAGGGTCAATTATAACATCAGAATATTTTATCTTTACTTAACAATATGTATAGAAAGTATAACATTTTTTAAAAACTTGAGAATTCCTATTTTAAATGACGAATGTCCGTTCTAATATTTTCTTGGTGTTTGTTATTCATTTTCAGTAAATGTTACCTTACAAGCTAACGTATATACCACGTTACAAAGTAAGGTTGCTGTTACGGTTTAAGGAGGCAATAAGAAGAAAAATGTTTATGCAACTTCTATATAACATTGGATAAATGTAGCAAATTCATTTTTTTTAGATAGGTAACGTAAATGCCGATTTCATCTATTGCGTCCACTAACACACTATTGGCCTTGGAAAAAGCATAGAGCCATCTTATTTACCGTCAACTGTTTTAAATTGCAGGTTAAGCCGGTCTCTCTTCTCTTGGATGGCTGCAAGTCTAGATGGAGGGCTATTCTGAATTCCCATCTGTGTAGAAAGCAATGAAAACCACTCCACTATTTTCCCAAGAAGTCATGAAATTCACAGATAATAAAGAAAAGAAACATGTGAAGAGCCATCATATAGGGTTTAAAGAAAGCAGAATATGATGAACGTACAGTTTAAACACGCAGACCATTGTTAATGTGTTCAATTCTGTCTGCCCCTCCTACTTTTATTCTTTTGTGATAATCAAACTTTATAGATTAAAAATCTTTTCCATGATTTCTCTATAATGAGAAATTAATTCTCAGCCTCGTACTAATTTAGATTGTATTATTAATACAAATAGTACCATAGATAATAATTTTTATTACAATAAATAGCAGTAACTATAGTGTAAGTTGTTCTCTTCTGTTTAATTCCATTAGTGTTTCAAAAGCGTCTTCTCTGGTCATTGGTTCGTATAAATCAAATAAAATTTGTACTCACAGGCAACATTTACTACTATTACTACTTAGATTAATCGGGGATTGCAATTGGTCACGTGATCTATTTATTGGCCGTTTCAAGTGTAAGAATTTTAAAATATTTTTCTGTTTTTGGATGACGAACAGACAGAATATCATATCAGAATTTAAGAGAGAAACAGGCATAAAGTAAAGAGAAAAGGAAGATATACTAGAGGACCTGCCGATTAAACTATGTAAGAAAGTATCCGTGATTTAATTATTACGGACACAGACTCAAGAACTGGCCTTGTGTCATACTAAGACGAACTTAGTAAAGCACTACGTCACCGTTGGGTTGTGTGAAATAAGTAAGTAAACAATGGGGACCTTCGTGTGGGTCACATTCTCCTAATAATTTATTTAGGCGTGTCTACGGTGTTAAATGATTTTGTTTCTTAGCAAAGAAAAGTAAAATGGATTTCATACAAGAAATGCCCACTCATAGGTACGTACAATGTGTTTTACAAGCATAATGTCTCGGTGGATCAATTACGGGTGAAAAGTGAAATCGATCCACACTGGGTGCTCCATACTTGCGGCGTTGTACCCCCATCTATGTCACTATTTGTTAATCATTATTTGGGCACTTCGATATGATGTAATGGTTAACAAGTTTGTCTCGCAGATCAGTTGCAACAGAGATCGATCTTCAGTTGTTGCTCTATACTTGTGGCCTTGTGTCAAACTTATCTATGTTTAGCATATAACATTTATATGGCATCAAATTATTTTACAATGATCGTTGGAAAACTAAATTCAGAATTCGCTCTTCATTGAGTGCTCCATTGATATGGCCGTATTCCAGATTTGCTCAAGTTTAGTAAATTTATAGTAATATTAAGTTTGGGAAGAGAAAAAGGCGAAATGTAAGAAGAATGATCGGAAGCGGAAGGCAAAATGATAAGGAGGAGGGAGAAAAAGAGACGTATGCGGGAAATCCTATTATAAAAAAAATGAGAAGTGGGCTTGAAGATTAATAGAGTTTATGAGAAGGAGATAAGACGTGGACCTAGAGTAAAAACAATGTGTGAGAAAGTGGGGGGTTAAAAAAAGGAAAAACAATGGCGGGAAAAGTAAGGGAAATGGAGGAAAGAAGAAGCCCAGCATAAGAAATCTAAAGTAAGTTTGGCAATGATAACTTATTTTCCCGTAAAGTGTGCTGAAGAAAAATGGTTAACCAATTCCAGGTTATTTGTCTTATATTTATGATTTTTGAAATTTGCCAAGTGTTTTTAACGCTTGCTTTAAAAGACTATAATTATCCCTAAAAATCATTAATTAAGAGAGTTATTATATGAGATACAGTGCATGAGCACTTATTTAGGTACAGTGTAACCCGGATTTAAGAGAGTTGTCGGGACCGGAGAAGAAGTATCTTATATCCGGGTTTCTCTTATATCCGGGTTTGGTCTATTTTATATACATTAACACAGGCTCTAATTTGGGACCAGTGAAAATCTCTCTTATATCCGAGTTTCTCTTATATCCGGGTCTCTTATATCAGGGTTACACTGTATATTAAAAGCTTCGTAGCCGAATAATTCACGGCGGCTGTATCAAAACTAAACTGAAGACTAAATTTCTCTTCTTGTCTTCAATCTATCACAGGGCTTCTGAGTTGGGTTGTACTATTTGTCTAGTGCCATTCAGTGAAGTACAGAGGTTTGGTGATGCCCGGGGCCAACTTCTTGATTGTATGCCCCTAGGACTCAAGAGGTGGGTGGCTATAGGGCCTAGTACTGAGAAATGTGAGAAAAGGAAGACATTTTAAATATGTAAAAACAGATGAAACATGAAATAAACACTTTATTCAAATTAAATATAAACTAAATTTTTATTTCAGTCTTTGATTGGATGCTCTTCTGATATGGATGCCCAGGGTCTTTGCACCCCTCTTGGCCTCCACTCCAAACGCTACTGCTGCCATTTATTTTCAAAATAAATCATATTACTTCATTTTACGCTTTTATTTTCCAAAAATTAGCTTCTTAAAATTTTATGTCTTATGCGCGGAAAAATCTTTAGGTCTAATTCCAGAAAACAAATACAGCAGAAACGAAATGGATATTTTAAATTAAAACAAAAAAAAAATGTGTACAATAAGATAATTATAATATATCTCAAATATTGTTCATTTTATGAGAGAATTAAATACAAACATTTGGAATCAAGAATTTGAAAACTTATAATCTGACTTAGTCCCGCCTACTTTAATAATATCCAATCTATCCCTTTCTCCGTTTATTTATTTTCTGGCGTCTTTTCCAGGACCTATTGATGAAAAACATTTCCACTTCAAATATTTGTTTTTCACACATATACTTTTTCTTGTTAATGCACTTAATTCATTGGTGAATATAAATCAGATAGCTCAAACATTATACAACTAAAAATATATTTTAAAAATCCAGATAGCAGAAACATGTTTGGCTACAGACTTATTGATCCACCCTCGTAAAACATTTATCGTGGGAAAAAAAAAAAACTAGAAGTAATAAAAATGCTAGAAATAGAAAAAGAGACGAAAATCAGGCGGACGAATATTATTAAAATTAATTCAGTTATTTACTTGCAAATTAAAACAATCTTTTTCTTATGAATCAGACAGCAGGTCTAAGAGATTTCTTTCCTTCTACTCTAAAAGCAATTACATCACACTAAAACAATTTTTGATACGAAACTAAAGAAATGACAGGAGAGACGGCTATCAGATCAACATTTTACATGACGACTACTACTACTACTACTACATTAATCTTCAGCTACGACGATCATTATTGCTTCTAAACGGAGTTATTTATGCTTCGTTAGAATCCGGGCCCTTTAGCTTCAAGAGTTCTCGATAGTGAAGTTCATTCGACACGTTCATCATTTGTGATACTATGAATTCATTGGGTGGTGGGCTGGATTTTCAATGAGAACCTCTCTTCACTCGATCCATCGTGACTGTTATTAGTACCCACCCCGGCAACGGCACACACACGATGAACGCATGCATTCATTCATAGAAATATCACGGTTAGGTGCGATCGCCCAATGATTTGCTCACTTCTCAAAATCGAACTGGCTTGAGGTGGTCTTTAAAAAAATGGTAAAAAAAAAACAAAAACTAATTTCTTGTAACAGAACACCGCGTTCAGTGTCGTTTTTCCAGTAACATCCACGTCTCATTCATTGACCCTCACTATCTTTTTCTGTCTTTTAATCGACAAAATATTGTTTATTTTGTTGTCCTCAGAAAAGAAAAGGTATTGTAATAAGTTACTGTTATTGTTTTGTCATGAATTTTTAATTCTTATTTTTTTTTATTCATTCTAATTTCTTGTTATCTAATCCTTTATTATATGGTAAAAGTTTTAAAAAATTATTTTCATTTAATCATAACTCATTGAAACTTGTTTTTTCAGACAATTTCGGGAATGTTATTTTTAAATATATTTCTGTTTTCTAGTTTTTACTTAATACATTTCGTTTCTGTCTTCTTCTTCTTCATATTATTATTATTATTATTATTATTATTATTATTATTGCCATCGTTATTATCGTTGTTATATTTTTACTGATTCTTTCTTAAACTATCTATCTATCTGTGTATACACACACTCTCTCTCTCTCTCTCACACACACACACATATATATATATATATATTGAGAGAGAGAGAGATGAGTGTGTAAGTTTCTGGTATATTTTTAAACCTTCGTTTAATAACATTCTTCTATTTTATTTTATCTAAAAATATTAACTTTAATTAACAAATGCAGCACGATACATTTTTGTTTGTCTTTAACATAATTTATCTTGAACGTACACTTGAACAATTTTTAAACAATTTGAAAAAGTAACGAGAACAGATTATTATTATTATTATTATTATTATTATTAACATCTGGCAATAATCGCTAATGATCGAGTGACAGCACGTCACTTCGAATCTGCAGCACCTGTCTCAGTATCCTTGCCAGTTTCAGCTCTGCAATCGTCTGGACACTTTCAACCCATCTTCAGATTTCCAACTCATATATTCTGTATTCCAAGTGCACTTATTATTGTCAATTTTGAAGTTGTTGCACTTTTGTTCTTGAGGAATTTTTGTATACTCTCAAAAATGTCACTAATTAATTTCAACAACATTATAATAAGCCTAATGCCTATGACAATATAATAAATTAAATATACAGAAAATAAATTATAATTAATAATAATAATTAAAAACATAGCGTTTTAGAACTCAAAGACAAACAACGGATTTTTCGAAGCGTTTTTTTTTTTTTTTTGTTCCAAAAGATGAAAGAGACATGAAATATCAAAATATTATAAACAATAAACGTGAAAATTTAGTTTTAATTAATTTATAAACCTTATGAACCATTTTATTCTTGTTCATATTTTCTACCCGATGAAAATTTAATTTTTAAATATATAAATAATTTTTTTATTGTTGAATTATTTTAACTTATTATTAGCATGTTATTATATTTTTTGTTTGTAATAGATATGGTGAATGTGGTGGCGTTAACAAAACATATCTTGTCATAAAAGGTAAAACGAAAAATTTTGATTTCAATTATCATTAGAACTCGATTTACTAAGGGTTGAGACCTAAATCGAAAACATATTGGGATCGAAAAATAAACTAGTGATACCATTTCTCCAGGTAATTAAAGACTTTCTAAATAATTGTATCAAAAGCTTATCAACATAAGTAAATAAATTTGTATTTGATTGTTTCTATTTTCATCAATTTCGTTTACGAAAATAAGAGTAAAATAAGTGTCGCCTAATATTTGTTTTGGCATAAAAAAGGGTATGAACGAGGAAATGAGAAAGTGAAATAACTGTTGGTCAGATTAGAATACAAAATTAGTTAATTTGGGGTAAAAATTTAAATAATGTCTAAAAATTTGAGTTTTGGACATTTGCAGTCCAGTCAGTAAAAAATTGCTATATTTGTTTTCTGTTTGATTTTTTCTTCCTTTCTTTCTTTTTTGAACTAGAGAAGATTTTAGTAAGATTACTTAAGGAAAAAAAAATAACATGAATATTACACTGAAATAGATAAAAGACAATTATTTTGTTCTTCGTTGGGTGAATGTTATTTCTAAATTAAAAAAAAAAAAACAACAACAGAAAAAAGCAAGTTATCCATACACTAGTTATATTTATGTATTTTTATAAGTCATGCACGTGTGTGAGCGAAGAAAATTTATTCTTTGTGGGTGGGGCAGCCTTACAAGATAAATATTTAATCTTGATGTCAAATTAATTTTTTTGAAAATTCTTGTTTGTTACGATTTACACGGCAGATTTGAAAGTATCCACATATACACTACACGCAATGTATTCCATAAAAATATAAAATTTAAATGTATTAATTAATCAATATATAAAAAATGTACATTTTTGAATACAAAAATGTATTATTACCGATTGTCTACCTACAACCGCATTTTCCTCTTTCTTTCTTTCTTTCTTTCTTTCTTTCTTTCTTTCTTTCTTTCATTCTTTCTTTTTTACTTCCGTATGTGTGACCGTAAGTGTTAGTATTCGCTACAGAAGTTTGTTAAAAATACACATAAAGTTATATTTACGACTCCCCCAAAATGTCTAAGCTTATATCTCCAGATTTGCTAAGAAGAAAATAGCATACATGATGAATAAATGCACTAAACTTAACAAAAGCGTAAGTTTTATCGTAAAAATCTTTGTTAAATGAAAAAAAACAAAGAAGTTTTTTATCATTTTTTAAAATACTTTTTTATATTTTTAATTCTTTTAAGAGTCGTCGAAGTTTTGATGAAAAAAAAGTTTTCTTGCGTCAGCGGGTGACCATAGATTTTAGATTAAAAAGTTTTTTTCACGGTGCAAAACACACTGATTTTAAATTCTAGCAGCAATCAAATAATTGTCGGATGGTTATGAAACTTTTGAGATTTATTCACAAACGAAGGAAAGTATTTTTTTGAAAAGTTTCCTTTGTTAGAAAATCTTTGTAAAAACAAAAGAATTTAATTTTATGAAATATCGAGAAATAATTTTTGTAGGGTTTACCGTTTAATTCTTATATAAGTTATAAGGACAAGTCCGTGGAGAATTTAAAGCATGAAAG